TCTTGTCAGGCAGCTTGTTTGCTCAGGGCTTGGAGGCCCTCCGCAGAAAGGTGGTACAGCAGAGCAAGGCATTCATTGAATATGGATGCCCACCTGGCTGCTGAATATAGATGAACTCAAAGGCTCCTTTGCTTCACTCATGTTCAAATACCACGTCGATGACACAAGAGCTTCCCCAGAACAAAGCGACAAGCGTGGCCGTTTCTCGCCAAATGTGGCCCCGACCATTGTGCATCCCATGATGGGTGCTGAGGATCACAGCCCCCCTCCTCATTACACCCACACCTCCAGTCAAAAATGGTTTCATCCGAAAACGGATCCCCAACCACACAACAGGCGCAGTCATCTTACATCTCATTCGAGCCACTCCTTGACATGCTACAACCATTAAAGAAGAAAAATCAAAACAACCCAATGCTTCGAAGCTTTCCCACTTCCAATGCAATACTTCTAGGGCATGTTTGTTGGCATCCTGCGCTCCCTCATGATCTCCCCACAAGAATTCCTGCTTTCCCCTCCACAAACCACCCGCCTCTGAGACATTAATCCTCTTCCCAGCATTTTTGACTTCTAACCACCTCATCCAGCTCAAATGCACAGGGCTCAGGTTTTGCGTAGAGCTGGCAAAAAAAAACTCCCATGCCTCCATTGAAGATGGAAAAACTTGTTCCTTCAACGCCCTTATTATTAATTGCTATAAAACTTAATTTTATTCATCGTTTGTTATGCCTCAAAATTGGATAGGGGAAAAAAAAAATCAAATTAAGTGAAGTGAAAAGATTTCAGAGATGGTACAGAAGGCTCCTGAAGGAGCTGAAGAAAACTCTCCGGAGACTGGGAACGCAGTGCTAACCCAACCTGAAAGAAAGAAGATCTTAAGACAAAGAAATCTTGCCAAATTGATCCTTTAATTATAACATTAGTCGTTTCTTTCAAAGGCTTAGTGCAAGAGCTGGGGGTGGGGGGCAGAAAAGACTTAAAGGGAGAAAAGATTTAACATCACCAGGATGAGTGGAAGCAATTAGGAGGATTTAAATTACTCTCTTGTTTGGTGCAAGGCAGATAGATTTCATTTGCCTTGCCATCATGCTCAACTTCTTGCTCTGCCACCAGCTTCCAGAGGTCTTCTCCTTGGCAGACCTGAAGCCCCAGCCTTCCCAGCTGGGCAGCATCCTCTTCTGCTCTGCACCTACTCAGCTATTGCTATGGACCACAAATAACTGGTGATAACAGCAGCTTTGTCACCCTGGAAAGGGGCTGGAAGTATGAGACTGGATGGGGGAAAGGAGTCCACCAGGCCTACAGGTCTACCTCAACAGGAGGACAGATACTGCAATGAATGGAGGAGGGCTTTGCTGCAGGAGCTGAGGAAAAGGAGACAGAAAAGAGTCAAAACAGCCTGTCTGGTATTGGAAACTCCACATGAGTCCTCAATGTACCCCGAAGCGTGGCTTATTTTTTATCTTCAGTCTTTCATCTTCTTGCTCCCAGCGACAAGCTAGATATAAGCCATCTTCTTGTCAGGCAGGACAAAGCAGGCAAGACGTCTGCAGTGGCTAGGACAGGTGAGCTGCGGTCATTACTGGGATTGCATTAGTGGGGTCACAGGACCGTGCACACCACAGGCAGTGGGGACCGGCCAGCACAGCTCTCACCTGGCCTCTGCTGCTCTGGAGACGCAGCACAAACACACAGATCCAAATTGTTTGAGATGAGAAACGACTGAACAGCAACAAAAATTCCCAAAGAAGGCAGAGCAGGCCTTTGCAAATCTCCGGTGCAGGGCATGTGCAGCTTTTGCATCCCCCTGACTCAAGGCCAACCAACCACAGGGCACTCCACACAAGGGGCCATCCGCCGCAGGGTGGGGAGAGGTCCCATCCGCCCCTCCTACCCATCCCACTGCAGACATGGCTGCAGCACGCGATTGTCTCTCTGCACTACAGCAGCTCTCCCTGGGAAGAGGTGCAGAGCTGTGCATGCACCCTGCCCCACCGCAGCAGGGTGACACCAACCTCAGGTCACAGGACGGCTGCAAGCAACGCTTTATACGAACCTCAGCATCTTCCCCAGCTCCCAAATGCACCAGCTGCCATGTAGCAGAAAACAGGGCATTTCAGCTGATGCTCCATCCTCGCTCGCTCCCACTGACTCTCTTCTGCCAGGATTATTTCGGGAGCTTGTGTAGCTTTAAAAGCTGAGCAGTCACATCTCCTTGGGCTTCATACCTGCTCTCAAAGAGGAACAGGGCCAAAGTTTTTTTTCCTTCCTGCTTTCAGTTAGAATTAATTGATCTGTAATTGCACCCATAGAGGGGAAAAGTTAATAGACGCAGTAATAAATGCCAAAGCCCCAGAAGAACTGGCTCTCCGAGCCCCTGCCTGGAACAACTCCATCTCCTCTTAATAGCTTTGCATGCAATTCCAGCGCATGTGTGCGCGTTAGTATTTAGAGAGAAAAATCAAGGAGTTTCGCTATGATGGAAATAATTTCTTTTCCTCTCCCACATACTTTGTGCTTAGGAGCAGATGGATCCAGGCTGTTTACATCATGGAGGTCATGCCTCAGCTTAACAGTTGGGGAACTGACTGTTGGGAGAGATGCTCATGGCAACCAGAAGATTGCTAAATCTGGGCTCCAGCAAATTTCGGATGGTGGCAAGTTAAACACACAAATGTCCACCTGCAGCCTCTTCGCATCCAGGACCAGCCTCAGGCGTTTGGTTGCTCCCCAAAGAAAACTGCTGTTGAGATGAAGCACGGGCAGAGAGGCAGCTCTGCGGCAGAGCGTGAGTGTGAACTTTGAGGAGAAGGCTGGAAATCCCGAGCAGACCTCGTTATTCGCCGGTGCAGATGGTGCCATTTACAAGCAATGAGAGTCCTGGTTTCTGCAAGCAGGCTACCAGGACTCGCTGCTCACCACTGCGCCCTGAGTTAACAGAGCAACCATGATTTCAGCTAGCTGGGCACGGCTGCCCGCCTGCCCCCAAAGCAGTGCCATAACCTCAGGGAAAGGTTTTCCTCGTGGGGTGGTGTTTCCATGGAGCTCACCCCCAAAGTGCCCTTTTCCTCCCAGCTCAGCCCTGCAGCAGCAGAGGAATCCTGGCTGCTCATCCAACTCCGAGGCAGGGGATGGGAAGGTCACCCCTTTCCCTCCCACAGCAGGGCCAAGTGCTCTCTTCCAGCACAAGAGGTTTGCGAGAAGCATTGCAAACAATAAAAACTAAGCAAGCAAAGCGAGGAACAAAGCCCTTTTTGTTGCACTCAAGGACGTACATTGTTTGCATGCAGAAGCACCTTCTCGTATCACACACCTCTGCGGCTCCAGCAGCAGCTTTGGCAAGAAGATGCCTTACCACCGCCAAGGTACTGCATCCACCGAGCCGCAGGGGATGCCAGTGGCCGTGACTGGGCAGGAGGGCTCACGCGTGGCCTTGCCATCGGGTGGTACAGCCCAGCTCGCCGCCTCCACTCACCTCGCTCAGCCCTCCAGGGAGCTGAGCAGTCGCGCTTTTCCCTAGGTATCTGGCACGCCACGAGAGCATCTCCATTGCCAATTAGGCCACCCACCCACTTGCATCCTTCCCCAATACAAACCCTATTAGCAATAAACAAACAGTCGAAATGCCAGCCGGCGCCTGGGAAGAGCCCTAGTCAACTGCATCCAATTCAAATGAAATTATGCAATCTTGGTGCAGGCAAGCACCCAGCATGGACCGGGACATGGGCTGAGCATCCCACCAGCCACCCTGTGGTCCTCCTGCTGGCAGCTGGCTTGCAGAGCAGAGCTATGCCACCCTGAAAGCATCACATTGGCACCAAAAGCCTCGGAGGCCACATAACACACCACATTGGCATGGTTTGACACTGCAAAAAGGGTCTTTTCCAGCTGTCTAGCCCCTCTGTTATTTTTTGGCAGGAAAATTCCCACCTGATGATGGCATCCAGATGGACTTTGCTCAGATCCCCAAACTAGAAGTGGGGAAACCCACCCAAAACTGCTTGGACATCTTCATCCTCCATAAGAGCTCCTTCCTTGCAAGGCAGCATGGAGCCCTTTCTGCAGCTTCTACCCAGAGCTCCTCGACTCAGACTTCAGACTGAGACCTGGGGAAATTCAACCCACCGACAGACCCCAAATCCCAGCCTCCTGTGCCAGAAGAGCTTCTGAAACCACCACCATCACACTTGAACTCACAGGGACACTTCAGACAGTGACAGAGATGACCAGGGCCAACCTCCACATTGATCCCTGCATTTGAAGGATTTCCAGCTGGCCAAACCAGTGCTACAGTGGCACTTTTTTGCCACAATGAGCAATTAGGAAAAAAAAAGACCTGCTGCCCGGCATGGGTCCCTGATACCACCTGCAGCAAAGGCAGAGGAGCCCACATCCCCTTCCCAGTGCAGAAGAGGACATTTTCTCCCCATGCACCAACCCCTGCCAGCAGTGGAGGATGTGCTGATGCAACCGTGGTTTATTGTCATGGAGACGAGAAGCATTTTTCTCTCCAAACCCAGCTTAATGGCTTGGATTAAAACCTCCTTTCCCCTGGGAAGAGCAGAACAGGGACAGTTTCACTGTCCCTACATCCCCAGCTTGTCCACATGCTCCCTAGACACCCCTACCCTCACAAGCATGCATCCCCCACCGGCACGGGGCACATCCTCCTAGCCTCGTGTGCCCCAAATCCATCCCACGCCATGCTCACCAGTCCATCAGCCAGCCAGCAAACACATACCCCACTAGAAACACACCCCAGGCTCAAACACATTTCTACAAGGTCCCTTCCATGTCTCTCCCCTCCAGCAGGTCCCCAGCACATCATCTTCAGTAAGGCAAACTAACGAGAAAGCGTCTTCAAGGCTGCCCCTTTCCCAGGGAACAGTCCCTTGCTGTGGGACAAGGGGGACAAGCTGCTGGGGTACAGGGGGCCAACCTCAGGGCTCGGAGACACACGATGGGCATGGCCTGGAGGGAAAGGACGACGTCTCGCTTACCCCGACAGCACTCCCAGGACAAGGTTGAGGACGAAAAAAGATCCAATGATGATGAGGGGGATGAAGTACAGCCAGTTCCAGGTGGCTCCTAAGGCATCATTGGTCTGGAGAGGAAGAGAAAAACATGCGTGATGTTATGATCAATGCCAGAACCCGGGGCAAAGGGAGGGTACGTCAGCTCAGGCGCAATGGTGCGTCTCCCTCCAGGCTGACCATGCCAGGCTCCTCAGGGTGATGTGGCCATGCCCGATGAGCCTGGAAGGGCACTGGGCAGCTGCCTGTGCAGGCAGGCATGTCCAGACAAGGGCTCCTGGCCAGCAATGCCCCAATGCCCCTCAGCACCTTGCCCCAGCCATGCTCTCCTCTACAGTCTCCAGCCCTCATCAGGCTCTTTCTGTCTCCTCCTACCATCACTGCAGGGATGCAGGGGCTGTAAGACAGTGGTATAGTAGGAGATGCAGAGCCCTGCTGCCCAAAAGCAGGGTGCTGAAGTCACAGAGACCATCCTGAGTGTGCCACTTCCCTTCCCAACAGCTTGATTCAGTGCTGTCCTGCACATCCCACCAAGACAGCACAAAGCAGCCCCACAGCAGCGGCACCTGCTGAGCAAGATGCAGGTTAAAAAGGAGAAGATTTATAAGGTACCTTAGGGCCAGGGAAGCTGGTGGCTAAAGAAGAGGCAGCCAATATTTGTCCTTCCATGCACAGGGGCAAAGGGGCTGATGTAGACAAGCACCACACCTTCACATGGGCATTTTGCTGATGCCATCATCACCAATACCTTGCAGACACCCCAACCCCAAGGAGTTGAGAGCACAGCAGAGATCTAACCACAGCGGCAAAGTCCAGCAGCTACAAGGGCTGCAGACAAGCCCTGCTCGATACCTGACATTTATTCACTGAGGCTTTTAATAAAGCAGTGCCCCTCTGTACCTCGCAGCTGCTTCCCGGGCCCCATTTGTCCTCCGGTGTCAGGCATGGCGCACATGACGCCGGACTGGAGGGTGATGCGGCAGAACGTGACTGTCTGGGGGAGGTGGTATCAATCTTGTTGCGATGAAAGACTCTTTCTCTTTTCTCTCTCTTCCCCCCTCTCCCCGTTCTAATTAAGCCCTCATCTTTATCTGAGTCACTGGCACCACGTCTCCTGGTCGGCCAGCGCAGGAGCCGAGGCTCCGCGAGGGGAACAGCGCGTCTCCAAGGAGGAGAGAAAGCCACTGCACCGAAGTCTTCCTCTGGTGACCCAGGCACCGGTGGGAACCTCAAGTGGGCATCCCCACCACCCTGACACTGAGCGCAAGGTGGGAAGGGAGAAGCCAGAACATCCCCTTTCCTCGGGGCCATGGCAGGAGAAAGCACAGGGAGGTGGGAATCCCATATAGGCAACACTCATCACCACCCTTCAGAGACATCCAGGCCACTGCACTCTGCTGTAATGAACAGCACCATTTGGCATGGCATTAGTCTTCAAGGCATCATGCAACACCTCAGCACGAGCTTGGCTGGGCTTCAGCTCCCCATCAAGATGCCACTGGGTACCTGCCACCCGTGACAGGATAGCTCACTTTTGAAACTGGCTCCTGCCCAAAACCACGACCTTTTCCCGAGGTTCTTGACACAGGGGATGCAAAACAGATGAGCTCTTTTCCTACAGGTGAAGGAGAAAAAGGAAAAACTTTTTCATTGTAAGGGTTACGGAGCACTGGACCAGGCTGCCCAGAGAGGTTGTGGAGTCTCCTTCTCTGCAGACATTCAAAACACACCCGGACACGTTCCTGTGTGACCTGGTCTGGTGATCCTGCTCTGCAGGGGGGTTGGACTGGGTGATCTTCAGAGGTCTTTTCCAACTCCTAACATTCTGTGATTCTGTGAAGACATCTTCTCCCAGGGCTGGGCCACTGCCACCCCTCCTTTGGCTTTCTGCCCTCCAGGGATGCACAGCAGGAGATGGAGTGGGAGATAGGGATGAGATGATGGAGCAGAAGGCAGCTTCCCCAGGGTTATCAGGCAGCGATGCCAGCAGCAGTGCCCAGACCACCTCATCCCACTGTGATTTCTGGACACAACCAAAGCTGGTGGCACTGGGGACCTGCAGTCAGGAAACCTGAGGCAGGGGCTTGGCAGCACTCAGATGGGTTGGACTTTCTGCAGTCTCAACTTCTACATGCATTTGTGTACCCTGGTCCCATGGGGGTGGAGGTAAAGGGGATTAGAGAGATTTTAGGGGTCTTGAGGGGTTACGTGTCCAGCACTGCTAGTAGCCAGCAGCTCCAGGAGGGGCATTGCTGGGGGTGGGGAGGGAATGGGGAGCTGTGGCCATGGACCCCACATACCCAAAGACATATCACTGGCCACAGAGAGCTTGGGGATGGTCCCAGCCACTCAGGCCAATGTCAACAGGCCCAGGACCGGTCCTGCCCCAGGCAGCCACACGGGTCCCCCTGGCTGGTGCCAGCTTTGCTGGGACCCCCCCAAGCCCCAAGATAAAATTTCCCAGGGCACACTCCAATGCTCCCTAAAAAACCAGGAGCAGCTGATGTCCAGCCAGCATGCTCCAGCCCATCATCTGGTACCTGCTCAGCTGCTCCAACTGCCAAAATTTGCCCTTTTATTCCCCAAGGAGCTGGAAGACTTGCTTCAGTACCTTTGCAGCACCCGGGCTGCAGAGGTCCCAGCTGAGGGGACTTGTTTGTGAAACACAAGGGGTTGGCATTTCACAGGCTCTGCATCTTTCACTGCTTCTCTAGCCTGTGGCGGAGAGCACGACCACAAAGCACCCGGTGCAGCAGAGATCAGCACACAGAACCACGTGTGTGCACACACACGAGTGGATGTATTCCCATCTCTCGGCTCCCAGAGCTGAGACGCCTCTGCCTAGGAAACCAAAGGAACCGCCACACCTGGAGGCATTTGCCTGAGACAGGACACAGACTGCCAGGGCCTCAGAGAGTTGCTGAGTCCAGACGTCATGCAATCTCCCTCAGCATTTTGTTAACTCTATGTTAAAAACTCATTATTCTTACTGGAAGACTCCTCAGGCAGATGCTGTAATGGCTGCTCTAATTTTCAGCCTAAATTTATTTCTGGTCATTTCATATATCCCTCTGTTCTTTTACCAGCACTGGCCTCTGGCTGAAACCCTGTTTCCCATCCTGATGTATTTACAGATATCTGTCATAGCCATCCCCAGCCTTTGCTTTGCCAGCCAAATAAAGTTTCCTCCAGCTCTTCCTCCGTAATCAATCTAGTAGTCCCTTTCCTGCTCCAGGCTCAGTTCATCTTCCCTGGATGCAGAAGACCCAAGCGAGTGGTCCTGATGGATCCCACTCCATCCCTGCCCGATGCAACCAAGACTTTGCCATCCTGCCTGCAGACCTCCCTCCACCACCACTGGCCTGCAGCTCCCCTGCGCTCCCTCGCCCATCCCCTCTCCTCCTCCACACTGCCACTTCCCCACTGGAAAGACCTGAGCTCCTACGAGATCTCTTTGCCGTTCCTCAACAAGCACATGGCTTTCCATTCCTCACTGCATCCCACACCTCCTCCTCCAGCCCTCAAACTCCTCCACCCCAGAGCAGCAGCCTCTTCTCCCAGCTGCAGGAAGCCAGCCAATGCTGGAAGCAGAAAAGCCCATGGATCACTCCTGAGAAGCCCCACCAGCCACTATGTCCCCTCAACACCACCCAGCACCATCCCCAGCACTGCTCACTTCCCCGCCAGCCTCGCAGAGCTCCTCTTCTCCTTCCCCTCTTCACTGACACTTTCCCATAGCAAAAGCTTTACTACAAAGAGCAGCTCTACATGTTTCCAGGTCTCCGATGCCAGGTTAGCCTGGCATGACCTACCTTTGGCAAACCCATGATTCATTTTCCTCTTTTGCCTTCCAAATCTGTTCCTAAATGGCATGCGATTGAGGTCAGGCTTACAGTCCTATTCCTGCCTGCCTTACATTTTTTTCCCCTCCTCCCCCCGCTTTTAAATATAGGCAATGCATTCGCTATTCTCCAGTCAGATGGTGCCTCCCCCAACTCGATGGAGTTGTTAAAAATACTTGTTACCAGACCTGCCATTTCATGTGCCAGCTCCCTCCAAGCACGGGGGGAGGGAAGCCATCCTGAGCGCCAGGCTGATGGGTGCGATGGTCTCAGCAGTTGGCTTCCACATTGGCTGCTTGTGTCCTCATTCCCACTATCCAGCCCTTTTTGTGGCCTCTGTCTTGGTGTTGACCAAAAGCCAGGGTGAGGTATCCATCCGTGCCCAAATCTCCCCAGCTGTTGATCTTCTTTGCCTTGCTTTCATCTGCAGAGGTGGGGAACCACCCACTACCCCTTTGAGTATCCTTGGTGAGGTCCATGTCAGCAGGACTTTTGGCAGCTCCCATAACACTTTCCAACTTCTTCGTCACCAAAATGCTGTTGTCTTGTCTGAGCAGCTCCTTTTCCCTTTGGGGCATCGTTTGTTCTTAATATTTCTCCATAGGCAGTGGTTCATCACCTTGGTCCACTGTGCCTTCCCATAGGTTTTTTCCCCCTTTGCTAAAGGTACCTTGAGGTTGTTATGTGCAGATGTCAGGGTAAACACAGGGAGTTTAATCCCCAGATTACACAAACGCTGTAACTCCTTTAATGAAGAAATTCCTGGCTCCTGCCCTGGCTCCCTGTCCTGCAGACCAGGTCCCATCGATCACCCAAGCCTTTTAAGAAATGGAGGAGCTGCCTGACAGCTGATCATTGCTGCTTCTTCCCTTCTCTGTAAGGCAACTTCCTTTTTGATATGCACCACACCAGCCTAAAGCACCACCACCTAAGCTCTCCCATGACCAGCAGACCAAGAAATGAGTTTGTTGATACCTCCAGGCTTACCCAAGGCACCAACACAGCCAATATGAGCTTGTCAGCAGAAACTGAGGAGCCACAGCTTCCCCAAGGGACTCCACACCCAAGGGTGTTCCTGATGCCGAGGCATCAGCAGAGGCACCGTACCATACCCAACAAGAGCTGAACCACCACGCTCACATCTCTGCCATGGACACGACCCATCCCACTGCCTGCAAAGCCTCTGAGCCTCGAAATTACACCAGCAAGGCGTGGGAGCAGGGCCCTGG